ACATTTGCTGAGAACCACAGAAAAACAGACCTAGAGAAATGAGACACCTAAATCTCTATCTGAAGCAGACCACACATTTTTTTTATAACTGGGCAGAGCAGTAGGCAGTTCTGTGGCTCCAGAAGTTAGGATTTGAACTGGTAAGGAATGGAGCCTCCTTACCAGAATGTGGAATAGGAACAAGATCGCTCCATTCTCCTTGCTGTAAGGTCTTTATGAGTCTGTTCTTCATATACAATCCAGCTACAGCATCTGTAAATTAAAATGTTTCCAAATTTTTTGAAAGTTTTGATCTTGTTAAATTATCCCTCCTATTGTTCTTGAGCATCTTTCTTTCCTTAATACTTTTGGTTCCCCTGTCCCACTATACTAAAAATGGTGGTTTTTTCAGTTGCTGCAGATTGGCAAGCTTTTCCACATCAGGCAAGACAAAACTCTACAAAAATAATTCTTTTTCATAGATTTGAATGAACCAAAAGTTGCCAGTCAGTGACTTGTTGCAATAAAATGAATCAGAGCAAAAGTTAATTTTATTTCATTAGCTAATCTGATGTTAATTATTTTTGGTCTAAAATGCTTTATTTGCAGCGCTCTGCTTTCAGCCATTAACAGGGTTTCTCAGCCCCTCAGTGCCAAATTATCTCTTGTTCAGTGTTTAACACAATAGTGACACCCACTGGCTTGTTGGATACTTTTTCTTTTCATGGTTCCACAGGGTTAAAACACAAAACAAACTACACTGTGAAAAATGTTTTCAGCACTTCACTGTGATTTGTTGTGCTTGAGTGAAGTACCACTGCGAATACTAAGCTGCATCATCAGGTACTGTGTTCCTGTAGCATATTGGATCATTGAAAAATACGATGAAAGAGCACAGAATTTTCCAGTAGTTTGCAGCATGATCCAGATGGTGAGAAAAATCAAGACTAAGAGTTACTATTGCATTGAACTGGCTCAAAATCTGGCTACAAAAAAGTAGTTATCTAATACTGAAAAGTCGTTATGTGATCTGCTGTTTCTGCACAAACTGAGAATAAAGTACAGTACTAGTCTGACCCTCACTCACTGTTTAACCCACAGTCACAGGAACATTTGCTCTATTAAGGACAAGAGAGTGGATTTAAGGCCAAGTTGCCTGCTTTTGTAGATTTAGCTCATCTTGATAAAGTTCATATCTAGAAGGTTTATTTTGGAGCCTTGACTTACAGAGAAAATTGCTTTGGTCCCAGTCCTATGCAGTTACAGTGGAGGAGTGGCACTGTCCCAGAATGGACACCCCTACAAGCTCTGGAAGCTGTGGCTTTGCTGTGTAATAGACCCACTCTTCCAAAAGGGGAGAGGACATGGGTGGAGCTTGGAGTAGCAGCAGATGCTCCCACCTCACTAAGCAAATTACAAAAGAAGGCATCTATCTGCAAATGCCTTTTGCAGTCCTGTCTTGCCCCCAAACTGCTCTACTTTCCTCCCTTTCTCTGTCCTGCTTCTGGTAAAATGAAAACGACTGGTTACACGATACAGTCTAGTGCAGAATGAAAAAGGACACTATATAATTTGTGCTATATTATTATTCTGTGGCGTTGCTGGGCATTTTCATTTTTGTTCATGTGAACAGAAGGTAAATGCATTTCACATATCACTGGTACATCCATAGACTGTAACATAGGGTGCTGTCCTAATTGAAGGCAATAACTGAACTTTGACTTTATCAACAGAATTCACTCTAGTAGCATGAACCAGTTTTTTTGATTTCCAGGTGAGACTCCTTTAAAACATTGTGCTTTCAGGCAAAAGTGCTCAGGGCACTCTGAAAATCAGGTGCTCTTCAGTGTCTCAGGCAACCAAAAAAAACTAATTCCAAATAACCTTGGACATTGCCTTTTCCAAACAGTATTAAATGCTTTGTTGCATAATTATGAAGTATTTGCAGTCTTAGTCATAGGAAGCACACTTAATTAAAAAAAAATATAGTCTTGTTGTGTCAAAAGTAAATTTCTTACTGCAGGTCAAGCCCAGGATATGCTAAAATAACAGACCATAGTCTTGGCATGGGTAGTTCCTGACCTAGACAATTAACAAGGCATTGAAATCCTAAAGGAATTTATTGGCATCAGATGGCAGAGCAGGCATAATATTCTGTTCATTTTAACTGAGCTAATTTGTCATTTCCACATGAGCATGACTACCTTCATCCTCTTTATTTGTACAGCTGTCCTGAGACTGTAATGCTGTGGTAGTCACATTGGATGGGCACAAATAATAGATGTGATAATAGATGTTATGACACGGTATCAGTTTGGTCTTAACAAAGCTCCCAGTCATTATCAGTCTTTGAGCTGAAAGAAAGAGAGACAATCCACCAGCTTCACATGGCATGCTAAAGTTGTATCAGCTGTCAAACCTATTGTGAATTCTGGATTCAGTGACTCTGTTCTATGACTTCACTATCTCCTACTGAAGACATAAACCATGGAGTCAATTAAATTCACAGGGTAGCAACTAATGAAGACATTTTATCAGCCTAAAGGACTACATGTCCTTGAAGTGTTTATTGGTTAATTATGGTGGGTAATTACCACGGAATTCATACAGTGTCTCAGCTTTTTTCTGAGTACTATCAAAATCATGTTTTTTCAGCTGTCCACAGGATATAACATGATTTGAAAATTTTCTCTTTCAACTCTTGAATGCAGAGCATGTACACTGTGAATTAAAAATATTAAAGTTGCAGCAGGAACTTGTTGTCAACAAAATGCATTGTTAAGACAAAGCCATTAGAGCATTAGTGAGAAATATCTTCCTGCTGATGAATGTTGCATTTGGCATGGTAACAGCTAGTTCAGCATACTAAAAAAAGTACCACTTCAAGTAGAGTGAATGGTTCAAAGAGTTGTATTGTACCATATTATTAGTCTCATTCATTTCACTTCTATTATACTCAAAATTATACTTTAATTAAAATGGTTGTCCAGTCTTTTTTTATTGAGTGTTTAAAGGATGCTGCTTTAAGAGCACTTCAATGAATAAATTCAGTTTTACAACAGAGGATGTGCAAGGCACTGCCAATAGACAGGCTGTAATTGTTCATGCAAGCAAATACTCAAATTAAACACCCAGAATCCTGACTGTCCATTCATTGTTAACAAGGATGCAGAATCAGCAGGTTTTAATGCTAGTAGCCCTTAATTTGCATAATATTTTACACTGCTCAAATTATGATATCAAGAAAATTGTAACTGTTGCTGAAGACAATGTGCTGATTCTGCCACGGAATTTTTGCCAGGGACTTCACTGGAAGCAGGATCGGGGTTTAAGTGAGAGGAGTCAGTAAAGACAAATGGAACATGAGTTGTATGAGGATACTTTTTCAGGTAGTCCTTATTTGTAAGCCTAGGACTTCTTTTCCTAGCCTCTGGACTAAATTCCTGTTCATAGCTTCAGGGCCAGTGGTGATCCAGTCCTGCTTCCACTACATCATAAGCCTATAGTATGTTCCTGTTTCAAGCAGGTAGTAATTTACCTTCTCGTTACTCTTGTTTCTTTGCTGATTTGATTGGATGATGTTTACCATACATTTCTTCACTTCCTGTCCAACTGTCAAACCACAGTGATTTTACTGACATATTTTAAAAGACAAATAGAGAATAAATAAAAAGAGTCTTAGGTCCCTGCTTGAAAATCACAAGATGAGATTTTGTTCAGGCAGATTGTTTACACTGAGAAGCAAGCAATTCAGTTCTGTTGTGTCAACATAATTTGACTCCTGAAGCTAGCATATCTGCTTACAATCACCTTTGATTTCTGTCATTTTCTTTTCCTTCAATCCATTCATAGAAATAAACGTATGGTCTGTCATTTCTGTGAATGGAGGGTGTACTGAAATATCCTTTACTGCCCTCAAGTGGTCTTAGAGCCATATGCTTTTCTCAGGAATGCATGGCGCTCCATTTTGCTCTCTTTTTTAATCATGTGCTATAATTGATTGATGAATTCTGAAAAGAAATCAAAACACTCTTCAATTGAGAAACAAAACAAGTTATAGCTGAACAAAGATAGTGATACAGAACGAAAAAGATGAGTAAGAGAAATAAAGATCTGTAAATATGTAGATTTTGTAGGGTAAAAGTGTAGACAGCTAACATGTGAAGTCTGATTAGAAAGCCTGCTTTATTCAGCACTTTGAATCTGTGATTTAATAGTTGTTTAGCAGGACAGAACAAAAACTGCAACAAATCCAAAACAACTCCACGCCAATGCTATAGTCTGAAAAATTCAGCTGGCATGGGAAGTGTTTTTACTTCAGGAGAATATATATTACCTTGGAAAAGTTATTAGAAATCCATGGAGATGGTCTGTATGGTACCATAGGTACAGATGCTCAGTTTAGAGCTATTTATAGATAAGTGGCATTCTGCAACCTCCAAAACCATTTTAAGACAATCTATTAAAATTGTTACTTTCTGTAAATAAATTGGCTAATAACTATAATTTTTTTCTGCAGGAAACGTCATAACTTTTATATAAGGCATTAAGATATGAGAGTGATGATGGAAGATATGTGAGCTAGAAAATCTTAAGATAATTAGTATATAGTGTGACTTAAAAGAAAGAGGGAACTCTTGATTTGTTCTAACTGTGTACCAAGTCCCCTTGTCTAAAATGAGCCATCACTCCTCTGGTCGCAAAAATGTGATGCTCATTGGAGTCTTATGCTTGCAGAAGCTTCCTGGCTCTACTTACATTGCTAGCGCCAGGAAGACTTGCACTTTGTCCCAGGCCTCTCAGAGATGATGATGGAGACCTGATGAAGGTGAAAATAAATTATCACCTTGAGCGAGTTGTTAAATTTGAAGGTCATGTTCCTATAGCAGCTCATGCGTGGTACAGATCTGCAGGCTGTACAGCAAGTATGTATACATTGCAAGCCTATACAGTCATCTCCGAAATACTGCCTGCTGTAAGGTTTACAGCAGTAGTCATTCACTTCTTTGGACTCTTTTCAGGGGCAGCCTGGTGAGCTGGGAGCTCAAGGTCCGATTGGGTCCTTGGGATCTACAGGACCAGCTGGTCTGCCAGGGGAAAAAGGACAGAGAGGTGAGAACGGGCAGCCTGGGCCAGCTGGAGAAAAAGGTGATAAGGTAGGAAAACCATAGACAGCTCTTTTAGGTATATACAGTATGTAACGTTAAATATTGGCATGTGAAACAGAACCTGAATGATCAAAAAGCATTTGGCAAACTATACTCTTGCTCACACAAAATTCTCACTGAAATTAATTACAGCTTTTTTTGAAAAAAAAATGTTTCAGGGGATATTTGCTGTAGATTGCAAAATAGAATTGTCAGAAGACATAAAATGAAATGAAACAGACCCAGTCTCTGCTTGTTACATAATGTGTCATCCTCCTTAACCTCAAAGAGGGCTGTGGGAGGAGTATGGTGCTTTTAAAAGTGGTGTATGCTGAACAGAATTTTATTAGCACTTATGGAGTATAAATGTAATTAAGGTCTGTATCTTTGATAGCTGTACAATCCCTGTGCTTGGCTCTTGATATTTTGTATTAGTTTTAGGGGTCTAATTCCACTGATCTCAGTGGATGATTGAAATCACTAATGTCAGTATCTAGCACACCTGAAACGTAAGCGCTGAAATAAAAGTTGTGCTGTTGGGGCAACGGTTTTAAACTAGAAGCGGGTAGATTTAGATTGGACATTAGGAAGAAGTTCTTTACCATAATGGTGGTAAAGCACTGGAACTGGTTGCCCAGAGAAGTGGCAGAGGCCCCATCCCTGGAGACATTCAAGATCAGGCTTGATGGGGCTCTGGGCAACCTGATCCAGCTAAAGATGTCCCTGCTCACTGCGGGGGGGTTGGACTAGATGGCCTTTGGTGGTCCCTTCCAACCCAATGCATTCTATGATTCTATGCTATTATCAAAACAGGAGCACAGTTGTGAAATTACATACAGAATTATTGTGTAAGTTACAGGCAACTTCCCCTTCTCTGTCATTTTACAGTCTTTGGAGAATGAATGAATATGAGAGTTAGACATTTGTCCTGTACTGTACCATCTGTTACATGAGAAACTACTGGCACTAGTCTCCTGCAAAACCCATATAACTTTCAGATATTTATTTCTGACAATTATGGCTTTTGATTCATATTTCAAACAAGACTGTTTCTTGTTTCTTGCTATATAGTATCACTTGATTTTCATTCTTTTAATGAGTTAATGACCTCAGTAACTTTGTTTTTTCATGTCACCTGTTTTTAGGGCCCAACTGGAGTTCCAGGATTTCCTGGTTTAGATGGTGTTCCTGTACGTATTGAATGAATATCGCTTTATAAAAATTACAGTTTCTATGAAGTTCTCTAACAGAATAATGCACTCAATAAATTGTTTGGTTTCATACCTGTTGATATCATGTCATCTACAGAATCACATGTTTTGCAAAAATGTAAAATAGCCAGGTTAACTTTGACTGTGTTTACTATTGATAACAAACTCCACAAAATCCCAATGAGGTAAGTACATAATTTTCATGCAGGAGTGGGGCAGTGAAGGTAGAGACTAGCCCATGTCCATGCAGCATGTCTTAGTGCTAGGATTAAAAACAATGACTTTATTTTCTCAGGCACTATAGCAGGCTGTAGTCTGCTTACTGCATTCTTAACATTTCTGGAAGTATCTCAAATGATGTGCTGTTTCCTGTTCCAATGTCTAATTTCTGCTTGTAGTCCTTTTGCAGGGAAAAAAGCAACCACTGAATGCAATCATTTTAACCTGCATAGGGACTAAAGAAGAAAAGTGGGTCCTAAATATATAAGCATGTGATTATATATTTTTCTGAATGTCTACTTCAGTGTGGAAATGGGTGTGATAAGAGAAAGATAATATCTCCTAGAGATAGTAGTTTGAAAAACGCTGTTTATTAGCATTGAATTCCTATGCTGTTATTAGTTTCATATGGATCAAACAAAGCTAAAATGTTGAATTTTGAAAGTGAAAACAGAACCAGAAACTGAGTGGGTGTCTTAGCATCTGCTTGTCAGCTGTCCACACTTGGCAATGGGACTCTTGCCAGAATGTCTGTATAATGCAGAAGTCACAAGGCCACAGTTTAGCACAAAAATGAAGCACTCCCAAGAAACGTGTATTCTTTTTATGAAAAATGTTAATTAAAAAACAGTGTCCACAAATTGAGATGAAGAACCTTAAAGACAGGAAGAAGGTAAAATTGACAAAAATATTTCAGACAAATGGCCAGGATACTTCACTGATGATTTTTCAGACAGGCTCCTGCCCCACCCTGCCCG